GTGTGTGTGTGTGTGTGTGTGTGTGTGTGTGTGTGTGTGTGTGTGTGTGTGTGTGTGTGTGTGTGTGTGTGTGTGTGTGTGTGTGTGTGTGTGTGTGTGTGTGTGTGTGTGTGTGTGCGTGTGTGTGTGTGTGTGTGTGTGTGTGTGTGTGTGTGTGCGCGCGCGCGCGCGCAATAATTGTTCGCGCTCTCACCTCCGCAATTTTTGAGATATCGCCTTCTACTTTGGCATATTTATTGAGTGTAATTAAAGCCAGAAACATATATGCGAAGAGGAGGAGAATTAGAAACTTGGATATGGCTTTCTCATACAGAAAGCTTTGTGTGCAAATAAAAATTCTGGAGTAAGCAATTTTCAAAATGCACCTTAACTCATAAAGCCTCTTCTATGAGGTTGCCCAAATTTTTAATAATCACTTGCCTTCATGATGACGAAGTAATGTCCAAATTTCCAATTTGCATTTTTACAAGTTAGAATGGGCCATGTCCAAATTTTTAATTTGCACATTAACTCACAAAGCATCCTCTATGAAGAAGCCAAATTTGAATAGACAACTTGCCAAAATGTTAATGTTGCATTTTGCAAATTTCCAATTTGAACCTTATAAATAAAAAACAACTTGCCAAATTGATAATGCTGTTTCGCAAATTTAAAATTTGCACATTTAAAATAAAAAATAGTCCAGATGTTGAGGAAGCAATGTGCAAATTTCCAATTTGCACCTTTAAAATAAAATAAAATTGAATAGACAACTTGCCAAAATGCTGATGTTGCATTTTGCAAATTTCCAATTTGCTCCTTTAAAATTAAAAAAAGGCTATATGATGAGGAAGCAATGTGCAAATTTCTAATTTGTTTTAATTTTAAAGGAGCAAATTGGAAATTTGAAAAACGCAGCATCAGCATTTTAGCAAGTTGTTTTTTATTTATAAGATGCAAATTGGAAATTTGCAAAATGCAACATTAACATTTTGGCAAGTTGTCTATTCAAATTTGGCTTCCTCATAGAGGAAGCTTTGTTTTCATGCGAAAAATTTTTTTCCAGTTTTCAATGCCAATGGGTTTAGAATGTTTTAAAACCTCAAAAAAACACACTTATTTAAAAAAATGTGTGTGTGTGTGTGTGTGTGCGCGCGCGCGCGCAATAATTGTTGGCGCTCTCACCTCCGCAATTTTTGAGATATCGCCTTCTACTTTGGCATATTTATTGAGTGTGATTAAAGCCAGAAACATATATGCGAAGAGGAGGAGAATTAGAAACTTGGATATGGCTTTCTCGTAGAGAAAGCTTTGTGTGCAAATAAAAATTCTGGAGTAAGCAATTTTCAAAATGCACCTTAACTCATAAAGCCTCTTCTATGAGGTTGCCCAAATTTTTAATAATCACTTGCCTTCATGATGACGAAGTAATGTCCAAATTTCCAATTTGCATTTTTACAAGTTAGAATAGGCAATGTCCAAATTTTTAATTTGCACATTAACTCACAAAGCTTCCTCTATGAAGAAGCCAAATTTGAATAGACAACTTGCCAAAATGTTAATGTTGCATTTTGCAAATTTCCAATTTGCACCTTATAAATAAGAAACAACTTGCTAAAATGCTGATGCTGCGTTTTGCAAATTTAAAATTTGCACCTTTAAAATAAAAAAATAGTCCAGATGTTGAGGAAGCAATGTGCAAATTTCCAATTTGCACCTTTTTTTTAAAATATAGTTTTAACAAACAACGAGCGACGGCTAAAACCTTCTGAGGGTCACTCAGGAAGGTGACCTTGAAAACATATGTCAGGGTCAAGGTCATTGGGGCTGGATCCGTGTTTGTAAATTTTTTCTTAATAGTATCTCATGTTGTAAAATTATATTTCACAAATATTAGATGCTAAGCTCATGTATAGTACCCTTTACAACTTGCACATAAAAGAAGTAAACGAGTGATTGTTAAAGAGCAATGTAATGACGAAACGGGAGCATGTAAATAGGTGCATTTTATACAATAGCAATGAGAGATTTCCAGTACAATACATGACATTAATATCGATTTTTACAATAGATCACTTCCGAATGCACTTAAGTAAACCATGCTTGTCAAGGTTATGACACGATAAGCGTGGGATTTCGTTGGCGATCGCGGTGCGGTGCAAAGCTGATAAGTAGAACGCAAAACGCAGCACCTTAGTATTTCGTAGTAAACTTCCTACCAGGTCGGACCATCCGCTTGTTGGGATAGTCACCGTTACGTATCTGCTTCTTTCCAGTTAAACTTACTTCACGAAGGTGTACCCACGATACTTATACTTGCCGCTTAAATCGTAAGCCACCAAAATTCGTCTTGTTTTTTTATTTCGTCACATGTCACTTAACAATTATACACATAACACAATAAAACCGAACTACCAATGAGAAATTGAAGAAAAGATATTAGCAGATAAGCTAATTCTGGATATTTATAGGTAAATTAATTGCAACTGACAAAGTTTTATATTAAAATCGTTTTCTTTTACACCTGTGCAAAGCGCAATATTAATTTGATTTGTCGAATCGTTCTATAACCTAACTCTAACATGAAATTCTTTTCTAGTGTAACACTTATGTGTACTATACATACCTACTTGTGTTAATTTGAGAAAGTTTTGAAAACCTACGACCGCATACAAAATGATTGTATATTCAGTATTCCGTATGTTTATCCCTTTCCCAGGTAGAACACAAAATCATAAAAATCATTATGACGTCATTCGATACACTTTTGATGATGATTTTGTGATAAATTCTTGATGTAGAAATGATTTTTAAGTGATTTTTAACTAGAAATCACTATAGAAATCACTTAAAAATCATTTCTACATCAAGAATTTATCACAAAATCATCATAAAAAGTGTATCGAATGACGTCATAATGATTTTTATGATTTTGTGTTCTACCTGGGTTAGGGGTATTAAAAAAATAAAAAGCGGTACACACGAGTAAAAAAGAAACAGTACTCGCTGTCGGGATTCGAATAGCCTCAATAATGACAAAGTTACCTCCTACCCAAATTTCTAATCGGTTCTCTATTTCTACCCTCTTAAAGGTATGAAGCAAAAAGCAGTACAAACGGATAAAAACAATATATGCCTAATCGAATAAATTACTAATCCATTTGACTAATTCTTTTCTAGCTGGGTATTATCAATGACTTACGAAATAATCGAAATAATAGTTTTTTGAAATTTAATATACATACATTCTTTATTATGTATGTCTAATTATATTTTCCTATCCTATCCTATATTACTAGTATACTAAAATTTAAATTAAATAATTTTACAAATGTACTACAAATTCCTGATGTACGTATATAAGCCTTCTAAAATTAGAGTTTTCTATTTCTTTGATTAAAGGATTCATTTTAATGTTGAAGAATTTGGTAATTATGCATAAAAGGAGCCTTCCCTCCGATTTCATCTATTTTTTAGTATGTTGTTGGGGATCTTCCCGAGTAATTTCATATATACATATATACATATATAAGGGTCAGAATATTTATCATTTATAATTCTGTGCAAAGCGAAATATTAATCCTTTACCGAGGTGTCATAAAGAGTCTAGGAATTTTGATCCGCGACCTTACGTACACACGTCTTCGAAAATTTACATTTACTATTACTTTGATTTAAAAATTTATTTAAATTTTTAAGAATTGTAGTCAATTTTTGGACAATATATATACATATATCTCTCATTAATATTACTTTTGCTGAATTTATACTTGTGCCACCGAAGAAATTCAAATTAGATCGTTACAGCAGTCTTATAGTTTTTCTTTTATTTCTCTCTCGCTGTTCCTTTCCTTTTTCTCTCACTTTCAATATATGTTGTAAATATTAAAAAATATTATGAAATATAATCATAGCTATCTTTAATTTTAGAATTGTAATTGCTTATTATTGATATTCCAGCATTATGACGCTAAATTTGTCCGGTAGTTCTACAACGTTATTTCTTGAAGCTTCTCAGCAGAATGTGTCGCAAACGAAATTGGTGGAAAAAGAGACCATGACGCAAAAACTGTTAACACAAAATGCACAAAACTCACGGACTAACAATAAGTACGAATGGAAGATCGTCTGGAGAAACGTGATATCTCTTGCTTACCTTCATATTGTTGCACTTTATGCATTGTATTTTATACTAACAATGGAGATCAAACCTCTCACGGTCATTTGGAGTACGTTACATTTATATTTATTTTAAGATTTAAAACTTAAAATTTAAGTGTTGTTTCACTAATTGCAACCATAGATTTGCAAGAAGAAATAACAATAGCAGATGTCAAATTTTACACGGTTCTTTAGTGCTACTTTAGTGTACCTTACATTTGTATATCTCTTAAGACTTAAAACTTGAAGTTCACATGTTATTTCATTAATTACAATCATTAATTTGCAGGACGAAATAAGCGTAGACGTCAATAGCTTGAACCAATTGATTTTTTAAAAATATCAAATAATAACTACAAATCTTATTTGTGAACGATCTCATGATGTTATGCTCACATGTTTTATTTATTCTTTCAGATTTGGCAGTGGGTGTTCTTGCAGGTATAGCTATTACAGGAGGTGCCCACAGATTGTGGTGTCATCGAGCTTATAAAGCGAAATGGCCGATGAGAGTTATTCTTATGATTCTACAAACCGCTGCTTTCCAAGTAAGTTTGAAGGCAATGCTGTTATACAAACTTATTCATGTGTGTTAAGAAAGGTATCAATCAGTATTACAAAAATTAAAACAAGGCTTCTGGTTGATCCAGCTGGCAATATAATAGATTAAATGTTACATTCCTACGACGTTTGGAACTAAGTTATTTTCCTGAAGATTTTCTTCGTTGACAATGTCTTGTGAGTCTGCTATAATTTATGCTCCGCGAAAGTCTATGCAGAGTTCTATTACTTGATAAGGACCTGATACTTTGTCGAAACGTCGTACGAATGTAAAATTTAATCTATTATATTGCTAGTCGGATCAACAATAAGCTTTGTTACAAGTTTTATTCATCGCTGCATGATGACTTTAAGCATACTCCTCTACTTTCGTTCCTTATTACAAATTTGTAAATTTTATCTCATAGTTATATTTGAAAAGTAATATATCGTAGATGTATTTGAAACTATATTATTATAAAAATGGAAAAATAGATTTAATGTTAATAAAAACATGTACTCTATAGCGAACTTTCTGGGAGAAAGTCTAAATATAATTACACAGGCTGACAAAAAAACTCTTTCATACCCAAAGATCAGACTATTTGACCTCGAAGGTTTTTCGTGTGCTGAACACGACTAGCTCCTTTGTCCGTTTTCCCTAGCACGTCAGGATTCTGAGATATTTTACCTTAAATGTGCAAAAAAGTCCATTTTGAGACATATTTGAGTTTATGTCTTAAATAGAAAAAATGTTTTTTGCTTATTACCGTTTGTTGTATCTTATAGTACAAGTTTTTCCCTTCAATTTCCGTTTCTGCATGTCCAAAAACGATGTTTCCTGTCCGAGTTATTGCACATCGGAGTAGATATAATTTTAATGCTAATAAAAACAATACTACAAAAGTATAAATATAGGAATACAATAACAGGAAGGTGGCGAATGCGGCGCAGAGAAAAATGTAGTGCTTACTAAACAAATGAACAAAAAGATCCGAGTTTATTTCCACGGACACTGCTAGTAGTTTCGGAATCTCTCGGAAGAAAGTGGCGACCACCAAGTATTATCCTGGCAGACATACCCCTTTAGGGATATAAACCTCCAGATTGGAGATTTCTTTCGGCTAGGGTTACAACCTACCAAAGGTGAAGTAAAACCAAATGCTCAAAGTACCAGAACGAAGTGGATAAAACAGGCTTTAAGCCTAATATACATATGAGGAAGAAGAAGCATAAAGAGAAAACTTGCAGTAATTGGTGACTAGAGGCTCTGAAACTACAAAGTTCAAGCATCGAAACCTAGAAAATCAAAACAAACTATAGAGAAGCTTCTAGAGAAGTTACAACGTAGTCCAAAGTAGCTACGGGACTGTGGGTTTTGGTTTCATAAGTTCCAGTGCTTGGACTGTTTAGTTTCAGAGCCCTTAGTCATCAAGATGCCGCAAATTTTCGTTTTTATTGTACTCCTATATTGGTATGTTACATTTGTAGTAATGCTTTCATAAGTCTTAAAATTATCCCACATTTAATGTGCAATATCTCGGCCAGGGAAAGTACAGATATGTCGCAAGAAGACCTCACATATTCTGATCTTTGGGTACATATTTGCCAGCTTGTGTTATCATTCAATGTTTGCATCGCAGAATCACATTTACGAATGGGTAAGAGATCACAGAGTGCACCATAAATTTATGGACACGGATGCGGATCCGCATAATTCGAAGAGAGGCTTCTTCTTCTCGCACGTAGGCTGGCTGATGGTCCGCAAGCATCCGGACGTTATTAGTAAGGGAGCCACGATCGACATGAGCGATCTCGAGAAAGATCCTATCGTCGTCTGGCAACGTAGGTACGGCAATTTGTCATCGACGCAGATATTATTTTCGAAGATGGGTTGATAAAGTTTCACTTGTATTATCATGTATTCTTTCTTAAAGAAAAGATTATCATCCGGTTTTAACAAAATAAATTTCTACGTATACGTAACAGGTACTACGCTGTTCTGATGCCTCTTTTATGCTTCGTGATTCCCACGTTGGTACCGATCTACTTTTGGAACGAGAAACCCATATACGCGTGGTACGCTGCCGTTTGGAGATACGTAACAACAGTGAACGGAACTTGGTTGGTAAATTCCGCGGCCCACATGTGGGGTATGAAACCGTACGACAGGTGAGTATCATCGAAGATCCGCATATGTCGTTTATCCTATTGTTCGTATTTCAAGTCGTAAATCTGCGAAAACAGAAATCAATAAGACAAACGTGTTCGTATTTTTGTCGTAGCTCCATTAGTGCCACTAACAACTATGGTGTCAGTTACCTAGCTTTCGGCGAGGGCTGGCACAATTACCATCACGTGTTCCCATGGGATTACAAGACCAGCGAATTAAACAACTATGGCTCAAACTTGACCTGTGCTTTCATCGACTTTTTCGCCTGGCTCGGCTGGGCGTACGATCTGAAGACCGTGGGACATGACTTAATAAAGAAGCGCGCAGCCCGAACAGGCGACAATTCGATATATGAGCTAGAGGGTGATCTTAACGATGAACATCATCATACGCAAGAGAAAATAATATGGGGATGGGAGGACGCTGATATGTCAGTGGAGGATAAGCTGGCAGCGGAGATATTCAACAAGGAGTCCCGAGATTAAAATCCTCAAAATTTTTGACGTAGCATTACAGTTGGAATTACGTAGAAAGTGTCGTCCGACAGTCGTTTGGGTGTACAATAGTTATGTATGGTAAATGCATAATGATATCGGTAATTAACGGTGAAAGGTTAACATGTATTGTTATACATGTAAAGTTTCGTATTTATCTGTTATAGAGGTTTAGTATTTATGCTTTTGACGATTGCGTATGTCTCTGGCAAGGAACAGCTCGGCCATTACACTAGCCGCTGGTATTGGAGACGGCCATTTTGTTACAAATAAATGGAGAAAATGTCACCATGGATATTTCACGGAAATTAATAACAGGTATAATATCCGTCTTAATATTA